AGCAGGGAGCAGGTGGAGCAGGGGACTCTTGTTTTTGAGGGGTGACCTGGCAGGCTGAGAGGAGGGCCCGCTTCCCCCAGGTGGTGGATAACGGGTGAGCCGAGCCCCCGCCCCGCCGGCCCGCCCAGCCAGGCCGGGGTGTCCACGAGGGTCCCTGAGTCTCCCGGGGCGGGGGGCGGAGCGGCTCTTGCCTCCCCCCCCCACCCCCGCGCCAGGAACGCCGAGCCGCCTTGCGATTGGCTCAGCCGAGCCCACGGCCTCACGCCATTGGTTGCCGGTATCTTGTTCTCTATTGGCCGGTTGCCGTTCTGACGTCACGGACCCATGTGGGAGCTCGGCGAGCTGATTGGCTGGCGCCCCCAGCCAACCACCGCCGAGAAAGGAATTTCCACAGTAGCAGGGGCGGCGAGGCTGATTTAAGGTGGTCTGAGCAATCCCGAGTCCCAGCGCTGCTTCTCGGCTTTTCCTTTCCTTTTTTTTTTCTTTCTTTTTTTTTTTTTTTAAACCCACACGCACATCATAAAAACTCAGCCAGAAACCAGAGGCTGAGCCTTTTCTGTAGAGTTGGGAGGAGAGATTGGAAGGAGCTCAACCTCTTTCATTTTTTTTTTCAAACCCCTTCCCCCATTTTGCAAATGGGGAAACTGAGCCTCCCAGCAATCCAGTCAAGGATGTGTGTGTGTGTGTGTGTGTGTGTGTGTGAGGCTGGGGATTCCCCAACATTCAGCTGCATCCCACCCCTCCCCCAGATCCCAGCTCACTGTTGGGGGTGCTGTAGTTGAGAGAGTATGACAGTGTGCCACCTTCTCCCCGGCAGCTCTACTCGTGAAACCCCAGAGCCAGGGTTTGTGGGGTGTGTGTGTGTGTGTGTGGTCTTGTAGTTTCCCAGATTCTCTGGCTGGGAAAAGACCCCCTCTTCCAGGAAGCCTCCTCAGGGAATTCTCACAGCCCTGGCTTTTCTCCTTTTGACCTGGGAGAGCTGTTCTTAGGGTGTCCTTCCTTCCCCTAGCCATCCTGGAAACCCCTTTCTGGCCTGGGCCCAGCTCTCCACATCCTACGACAGAAGGTAGATCTAGAAGTATTTGCATTCAGGGGTGCTGGTGGAAAGCAACCCAGAAAGCCCGGGAGAATTGGACCTGGTCCTTGAAATGCCAAGCTAAAAAGGAGGGGGAGGAATTCCAGGAAGAGAGAGATAAGACACCAAAGAAAAGCCCTCCCCATCCCCATGGGAAAGAAAGCGAATTAGATCATCTCCTGAAGGCCACTGGGGCTGTGGGGTGGGGTTTTCTAGGGGTGCAGGGAAGCTGGCTGGGCCTAATAGGGCTCCCACCCCTCTCTACTACACTGAACTGAGTTGCTAATGTATCCCCAGGGCAATAGGGAAACAGGGGAGAGTTTTAAAAGAGGGATTAAACTAAAATTAAAGGGGGAAGAAGTCACCTCCTAGAGATGAAATGATTTGTGGCCTGGCAGGCAGGGGAGGAAGGGCGCGTGTGCGTGAGTGTGTGTGTGTGTGAGAGAGAGAGAGAGAGAGAGAGAGGGAGAGAGAGACCAGGCCCAGAGATGGTCAGGAAAACTTGTCCATTTGTCCATCTGGGCAGAGCCTGGAGCTGAGGGCTGAGAAAGGGGCCCTGAGTTTGAGGTCAGGGGCTTTGGCAAGAGAAGGCTCACTCACAGAAGTGGGGGGTTTAGGGGTGAACTGATTAGAGGTGTCATTATGTGTTCCAAGAAGGAATGTCACTGGAGTCCCTAGCGATGGTGTAGAATGGGGATTTCCCAGACAAGGGGCCTGGGACCACAAACTTGTTATTGGGGACTCAAGTGGGAAACCCCGTTTCTTAGATTGACAGAACTTTTGGAGAAGAGAGCTGTGGCTGGGGATTTCTGGTTTTAGCTAGAGAAGCCAGGTTCTTGTCAGCTCTCCAGGTTCAGACCCTACAGAGTGTGGACTGAGGGGACAGAGACATCCTGTGATAAATATAATTAAAATATCATTAAAAAAAAAAAGATCTCTAGGCTGGGAAGGTGACTTAGTGGTAGAGTGCTTGCCTAGCACGCATGAAGCCCTGGGTTCCATTCCTCAGTGCCACATACACAGAAAAGGCCACACACAGAAGTGGTGCTGTGGCTCAAGTGGTAGAGTGATAGCCATGAGCAAAAGAAGCTCAGGCCCTAAGTTCCAGCCCCAGGAACAGCACCTCCTGTAAATACAGGAGGCTGAGATCTGAGGAATGCAATTTGAAGCCAGCCTGGCCAGGAAGTTCTGTGAGACTCCAATTAACCACATAAAAACCAGAAGTGGAGTGTTGCTCAAAGTGGTAGAACACTAGTCTTGGGGGGCAGAGCTCAGGAACAGCACCCAGGCCCTGAGTCCAAGCCCTACTACTGACCCCCCCCCTCAAAAAAAAATAAGATGAAGTGTTTTAGAAGAATAAGGTAAGCCTGGCACCAATGGCTCCCGTCTGTCACCCCAGCTACTCAGAAGGATCGCAGTTCAAAGCCAGCCCAAGCAGGAAAGTCCATGACATTCTTATTTCCAAAGAACCACCAAAAAGCTGGAAGTGGCGCTGTGGCTCAAGTGGTAGAGCGCTGGCCTTGAACTGAAGAGCTGAGGGACAGCGCCCAGGTGCAGAGTTCAACCGCATGACCAACAAAAAAGAAAAGAAAAGAAGAAAGAAGGCGGAGAGTACAAGGGTGAGAGTTACTTAAAGGGGTGACCAGGAGGGAAATAAGAAACAAGGGACGAGAGATCCGGGAAAAGGGAACAGCATGGGGAAAGACCCCGAGGTTGGAATCTCTCTGTGACACATAGAACTAAAAGTAAGCGTTATGGAGAGGAAGAATGTCTCTTGGGAAGAGAGAGGCAGGTGAATTTTATTTGCAATACAAGGGAATGGACCGTAGAACTTCATGTGTATTATGCAAGCATTCCAGCCCTGAGCTCCACCTCCAACCCTAGATTTGATTTCTTCTTTATTACTTTTATTGGTACTGGTCCTAGGATTTGAACTCAGGGCTCAAAAGACAACACCATGTCCAGCTTTTTCTGAGTACTTTATTGGAGATGAAGAATCTCATGGACTTTCCTGCCTGGGCTGGCTTTGAACTGTGATCCTCAGATCTCAGCCTCCTCACTAGCTGGGATTTATAGGCATGAGCCACCGGCACCCAGCTTTAGATTTGATTTCTGTGGCAGGAAGGAGCCATTGAATCCTCTAGCATACCCCTCCCCCCCCAACCCCTCCCTCCAGTGACCAACCTCAGCATCTTGTTTACTTTGATTCTTCTTACAACTGCTCATCTCCAACCTGCTCAAAGAAGACCCCTTTCCTGGCTGCACAGGAATGAGGACCCCATTTGGGCGATCTCTACCACAACTCCTCTCCATTCTTCATGTTTTTGTTTTTGCTTTTTGTCGGTCATGGGGTCTGAACTCTGGGCGCCTCAGCTCTTCAGCTCAAGGCTAGCGCTCTACCACTTGAGCCACAGCGCCACTTCTGGCTTTTTTTTTCTGCTTATGTGGTGCTGAGGAATCGAACCCAGGGCCTCATTCATGAGAAGCTCTACCACTGAGCCATCTTCCCAGCCTCAATTCTTCTAGTACACAAATAACTGTAGTAGGCCTGGGGCTCCTCCCCCCTGAGCCTGATCTCCCAGCTGTCCCTGGATCCTGTGGGATAGTTGGTAGGACTGGTGTAGAAACTGGTCTGTGTGTGTGTGTGTGTGTGTGTGTGTGTGTGTGTGTGTCTAAGAGCCTTGTGCCCTTTGGCTTACCTACCTGCTGACATCCAGTTGTGGCCACAGTGGCTGAAATTGCCCTGCTTTTTTTTTTTTTTTTGGCCTCTGTGCTCAGTCTCAGTCCTAGGCATCCCTGGTGTTTGCTGACTGACTTGGTGACTGACTCGGGCTTCTCCTTGCAAAATGGGAACAAGAACTCCCCTGTGTGGGTGGCAGGCTGGCCTTCAAAAGCCAGGCCCTGGTCCAGCCAGCCCGTGATCGCAGATCTGAAGATGGAAGTTTCCAGCCAGTTCTGGCAGGAAAATCTGAGTTTGAACTCCACTGGCAAGAAAAGCCCGAAGTGGAGCTGTGGCTCAACTGGTAGAGCGCCAGCCTTGAGCGAAAACGCTCAGAGACAGCAGCCCCCAGGACTTGAGTTCGAACCTGGTGTTTGCACACACACACACACACACACACACACACACACACACACACTCTGCCCATAGTCTGAGAGAGGAGGCTTGCCCAGTCTGCTGGTGGTGGCGGCCACTCACCCACCGAGGGGACTGACCACAAGCCCGGGGGCCGGCCTGGACATGGTGCCCGGAGCCCTGCTGCGTCCCCGGCCGGTCTCCTCCCTGACAGGTGGCCCTGCTTGCATTTTCCCAAGCGGCTACCTGCCGATCCTTCCATGGCCGCCCAATGTCACCGGCTGGGGGGAAGCCACGGCTGACCCCTCCCCAACCCCCCGGTGTGAGGAGGCAGTGGCCCGGTGTGGGGGAGCCTCAGTTTCCCCGGTGGTCAGGGCGC